GCCTTAAAACTTTTCCACTAATACCATTATCGCTACTGTCTTTCTTTATGTCGAAATTAGAACACAGACTGAGTACTCTGAGTGCTTTCAGTAGTTGTTGTAGATCTGCCAATCCTGGGAAAGTTCACCACTGCTTCATATTTTCTCCATTTGTGGATAATGGTTCTTACTATGGTTCATTGGAGTCCCAAAATTGTACTGTAGAAATTGTTTTTTTAAGCTTGCTTGATTCTTATTTAATTTCTTCACTTAGATCAGAACCTTATGTGTTTCTTTTTAGCATTCTTGTTTGTTAAATTGTCAAAAATGCTCTTTTTAAAGGATGGGCTTGATTCTAAAGCTAAGGCATTAATAATTACCTAAATATATGGTTAAATACAGTTAATTCAGGATTTAATAAGGGAAGGCATTTTTTTGTTTTGTTTTTCTTTTTCACATAGAGCCAAGTTAATAAAATTATTATCTGAAAACAAATTTTCCACTTATTTACATGTGGGTCTGGAATTTGAAGTTGTTAGATGATGCCAAACTCTTACGTTTGTTTAAAGAAGGAAAACCTGAACAAACCTAAGGGGGTAAATTGTCAATATCCAATTTTACAGCAATGGATACGTTATGAAGTAGATTTCTATAGAAGTAATTATTGTAAAAATTGTAGATTTGTCTTTCTGTTCCAAGCTGACCCACATTGGCAGAAAAAGAAAAGCTTTGTTTCACAGGATGTTGCAGAAAAGGCAGAAAATCTGCAAGCTCTTCAAACACTATTTTGCTCCACACCCACTCTCACTACTGATCCAGGTGGATGCAGGCTCAGTCCACACATGGATATATGCCAGATCCAACCTTAGCGGTCCTGTGAAATCTCTTGTGGAGAACTTTTTTTCTGAGGTTAAGAAGCTTATGCCTGATTCTTGAGGTGCAGAGAAAGTTGTCGGGTTGCGATTAGCCTTGAGAGGGGTTGGAGAAAAGAGAATGAAGCCTTTCTTTGCTAAATGTGTCTCCTTATTGAAGAATTGTGAGTTACCTTTAGTAAACAATACCAAACATTTCTCAGGCCAGCCTTATTCTAAAAGCAATGGGTGGGTAAACGACTGCAGGCACCCAACACCAGTCAGGAAATCATCGCTCAAACCCAAACCCTGCAGGGATGTATGAGTTTGGTCATGATTAGTCAGAAAGAATAAATAATCTGTGCTTGCGACAGCCTCATTCAATTCTTTTATTAGTAAACTCCCTCCAGTTATTTTTGTTGAATGACCTTCTCAATCACAGAAACAGTCAAAAATACAATTTTGGAGCAAGGCATTCATTATCAAAGCCTTTTAGTGCTCAGGGGTACCTCCCTATTTACTTTGAATTGAAGAGAGGTGTGGTTGTGCTTGAAATAATGACATATTATGGAAATTGACAAATTAGAGGTTGATTAAAACCTTTAAGGCATTAAAAAAATCACTGTAAATAAGGTCCCATTAGTAGAGACATTATTGCAATTAAATTGTTCATTAAGCACAATGAGATTAACTCTTATACTTAACAGTTCTGTTCAGTTTTTCACTCAAGTATCGTACCTTGATTTGCTTCACACTTTGTCATATTTTAACTACATGCTTTATATTAATCAATTTTGATTTACTGTTACGGATCAACAACATATGGAATAATGGTGTAAAAGAAGGAACATTAAAGATGTTTTTCAGAGGATTGTTAGAAATATATTTTATGAATAATGTAGCATGCATTAGTATTTGGATGATTCTGATGTGCTTGATTGAGATTTAAAATGAACAAACTAAGCATAATGAAGACAACCCCACCGCAAACAAACAGCAAAACACAGGTCAGAGATCATGCTGATTAAGTATGTTGGTCATCCTAAACTGACTTCAAACTCAGGTAGAAGGAGAAATAGATCATGAAAAATGGTGGTGGAACAGACAATAAGCAACTTGCTAACCTGAGTGCCTGATATGGCTGTTGGAGATTGTTAAAGACCTCCAGAAAGACAACAACCATTAACATATACATAGAGTAAAAAGAAATAAGTTTGGAACTAGGCATATCCATGTACAGTACTAGGATTGCCTATTTAAAGTCCAAAACTCAATTCATCTGACAACCCCTGTTGGTTCTTGGTTACGACTAGCTGAATAAAAATTTATTTTAAGGTTATTTGCACACACAAAAAAGAAAAATTTCTTTCATTTGTCAGTTCTCTGATACTTTGTATTTGATTTTTCTACTGCATTAATTCCAATAAAAACAAAAAAAAACAAGAAGGTGGTGAAGATGGAAAAACTTTGCAAGATAAATGTAAGTCAGCTTTTTCTTTTTATATCTAAACAAGACATTTTTACTTGGTGTCATCCCGATACCACCACCACCTTTCCTAATGTTTTTCTTAAGTTGAGACACCGCGACTGCGACATCTCCCCGACTGGAAGCCTGATTCCAACACTTTCAACCGTTTCCTACAATTGTTGTGACGGTCCGTCACACATCACGTAGTCACGCTGTGAGTCTCTCATGTGTGAAGAGTAAAGCAAGGGTAATTAAATCTTCATCCCTTCAGCCTCACAGCCACATCTGTTGAACTGAAAAGCCACACTGTGTTAAACAGATCCACTTAAGCTCAGACTCCAGTGGTAGCGCCAAGTAACCTGGGAGGCTGTCGTCGGTCTTCCTGTGAACAGCACAGTGGTATCTTGTTTTCATGTCACATGACCGTCTTTGGAATCATCAAATCAAGCACTAAATACGCCGTGCAGTTACCTGATGGTTCAAAACGCTACATCAGATCTCTTCCACAAGCTTAGCAGGCAGCTGAGTGGATTTGTTGTCCACAGTGGAGGGCTCCAGCAAACCGTAAGCAGTTTGCTTGATTAAGGCATGCAGAGATCCTGTGAATGCTGCAGAAAATAAAGGACCCACTGTCTAATTGAAAAGAATAGTTAACAGTGGGCACTTTTTTTCCCTCATTACTTGGTAACAAGTCAACAGTGAGAGAAAAATGTCACAAACTACTCATGTATTGTAGCCTCCACAGTATAAGTCTAACAATTAGCACCTGGCTCACCATTAAAAATAACAAAAAAAAACAAGCAAAAGCAACCACCATGCCATAAAGTGTT